CTGCTGAGTTCCGGCTGTTAGCGAACTGTGATATCTAGTGATGATACTTCTAAGATGCAGCACTATAGGGGAAAAATACTTTTGTATTTTGAAACAAGTAAGAAACCTGTATTCAAAACAAATACGTGAGAGCACTTAAAGAATACACAGCTTCCCCTGTTTTGACACAGACTTTTTACTAGTTGCCAACTCTAGTTAAACTTTGTCAAGTAAGCATAATTCAGTTGCACCTGCTAGTGGTAGGAGTGTGCTCCGTGTCCTGACACTCCAGAGTTCTTTATTCCTATACATCTTTGATTCCTCATGGAGTCTTGCTAAATCTTTGGCCTCTAAAATGATCTGTGGTGCTGAGTTCCTTATTTTAATCAGTCTGGTCAGTTCTCAAGAATTTTGAATGACAAATGTGAATTTTCTGTTTCCTTCCTCTAACTCTAGATGGTTAATGAAATATCTTTATAACACAGGATTTTCTTATGCTGACCTGAGTCTAATTCATCTGCCCAGCCCTTTTCCTGACTGTTGCTTATTAGTGTCTGACTGTTGTGGTCTTCCTTAGGAGCAAGTACATTTCAGATACATTTTTACATTGTGTTTTGGTTTTAAAAAGTAGTGTAAAATGGTATGTGTTTTATTTCATTATTAACAATTTAAAATAATTATTATACTGGTAATAATGTCAGTGTCTGGTGCTGTGGTGGTTGAAGAAAAGTGTCAGTGTAACTACAGATTGCCTTTTCTGCTGCTAAAATAGATTCCCAAGTTTTCCAGGAAAGAATAACAATTATTTCAATGATTAAAAAAAGACAAAATACTACCTAGATCTATTCAGAGGGAAGCTGTTTTCTTAAATGCTTCTATTCACATCTTCCAGCACATGCAAAAATATTTCATTGTAAGACTGTTACTGATGTTTATCAATGATGTTTCCAAAAAGGGAAACCTGCTGAAAGTAGTACTGGCTTCCTGGTGACTCAGTGAGGTGGTTCAGGTACCTTTTCTTCTGAAAGGTGTTTGAAAACCTCGACTTTACTCAATATTTAACGTGTAAAGAACTCTCTCCTCATGGTGAAAATCCAGTGTGGCTTTCTGAAACCCAGCATCCTGTCCAATGTTGTTCCAAGTTGGCAAACTGCTTACTCTGCAGTTATCCAATTGCACAGGTTTTTAACTTGCAGGCATCTAATTGAGAATGACAGATGATTACTAGAGGATAATGGCCCCTATATGGCAGTGTCACAATCCATCAGTTTAACCTATGGTTAAATGCAAACTGGTTTTTGTGCAGTGTTTCATAGTGTATTGCTTGGAGATGCTGCTGCAGAAAAAAAAGCAGGTTGTGAAGCACGTATGGCTATAGAGACTGCAGTTATGAGAAGCCCCCTGCCTGGCCTGTCTTTAGGAACTAAATATTACCTCCAGAACCCAAGTCCCCAGCTGGGGCATCTGGCAGCAGTTGGTTAAGTGGTTGAATCATCTCCTTTGTTTAAATTCTACTCCACTTCAAATCTGTCCTTTATCTTATTTATAAATTTAGGACAATGTGTCAGTAAAATAGGTGAAAGATCAGTATATTGTGTCCTGCAAATGTACATAATGATGATTCTGGAGCTTTGCTTGACTAACAAAAGGCTCAGGAATGCAGTGAGTGGGCTTCCCTGCTGCTTTGTGGCAAAGCAGATGGGGCTGCAATAACTTAATGCTCTTCTTTTGTTTCCAGAAGGATTCTGGAGTTGATGAATGGAGACAGAATGCCATTCTCACAAGTAGCAGGGATTGTGTATTTCAGCCTTTGGCTTCTTTGTCTGAAATATTCACCAGAGTCCATTCAGTTTGTGGTGGTGTTGCTCGCCCTGGGCAGGCAATGTTTCCTACCCAGTGGGGTGTCTAGAACACACAGGAAGCCCAGAGAGGATGAAGATGAAGATGAAGAAAACGGCTTGCTTTACAGATGTTGGTGGAGCATGCCCAGTGATGGCTGTGGATATGATCCACTAACTTGTACAGCAGCATTGGGGATGACAGTAGAAGTCTTCCCAGGAGCTGAGTGTGAGCATATGGAGAAGGGGGAATTGTGGTGGAAGGCAAGTGAAGAGGAAGAAAATGGCAGTGGATGCAGATGCGCAAGAAGTTTGGGAAATGGGGGGAGCAATTAGCATGATGGTTGTAGTACTGTCCTTTTGTGCTCTTTGGTTAGTTCAGTAGTATGCTGCTGGGGGTAGGGTGAAGGAAACCAAGATGCAAAGTTGTTGAGTTAAAGTGGATTTTGGAAGCCCTTCCAGTCTTTTCTTTTCCTACTGAAACCAGAACATCCCACTGACCGCAGCATTTTATTCAGGCACTGTGGGATAAGCTGTGGGATCCCAGATCCTATTCTGTTTGAGGACAAAACCCAAGAGCACAGGTTTTTGGCTTCCCACCCCTCTTCCCTCCTATATGCAGATAAAAAACTTAAGCAGACAAGCCAGGAGAGAGTAATAGTATAGTCCATCCAGCCTCCTAGCAGAGGGAGCGCATGCTGCTCAGCATGACTTCCTTCCTTCCTGAGACAGCCCTAGGCAATGTGCTTTACCCTAGCTGTCTGTGACTTACACTCTATCTGGTAGACTTAATTGACTGATTTTTTTTACCTTGAGAATATGGACTCTAGACTTAAAAGACGTTTTAAATGTTAGCCATTGATTAAGACAGAGAGGAGAAAATTGTTTCTCTCAGGGGAGATGCTGCCACAGATTTATGTGCTCCATATGAAAGTCCTCACTGGGAACTGGGTGTTCCTTGACATCCAAAATTTTCAAGTACAAG